CTTATGAAAATTCGTGAATCGAAAATCAAAATGGGAACAATAATTTGACCCAAAGAAAATCACTGCAAGGGATACGAATAAAAAAATTATTTCATAATTCGTTAGAAATAAATTCGTAATGGCAATGTAAAAAATAAGATAAATCCAAACGAGACATTGCATGAAGATGCCATATGTCTTGACGAACACAATGAGCTGTTGTGTTTATACATAAGCCATATGCCATCGAGGATGCAAAATATTTTTGTATAAATAAATGCCATTAACAATAATATAATCTTCATATTAACTAGAATGAATATTATAAATACTGTAATTATATTATCTGGCTTATGCCTCTTGTTTAATTATTACACTTGTGACCCAAACACTACGTCCCATGATAAAAACACAAATAAAAAACAAAAGATTACAAATTCTAATTTTCTCTTAACGTTTTTTGAACATTTTTTTTTCTTGGCTTAAACACAAAAAAAAAACATAAAATAATTTAGACATCAACTTTACAAGTCGAAGGAGCGAGAAGTGGAACTTGTCCATTAGAAGATGGATTAAATCTCAACCACACATCACACGTGGCATAAAATCCATACCGTCCAGTCTTAATCGCACCAGCTTTCCAACGTAGCTTCCCTAAAATCACCACTCTCATCAAAACGGCACCGTAAGCTTCATCACTCTTTAAACCATCAGCTACTTCCGGCGAGACCGGAATTCCNGCACCGCCCATCAGCGGAGCTATCACCACCGTAGATCTATGTCCTAGACGTAGCGGTGGAAGTGAAAGCGGCGGTGTTATGATCTGATCTTTGTAAGTAACGTACATGGAGAGCTTGTTGTAGTGAATGGAGACTCTCCGGTTAGGGTTTCGAGCCAAAACGGAGAACTGAACGGAGGTTGAGATTAACGGCGGAGAAGTGAAGTTTAAGTCGTAGATCGCTGCTCCGACGACGGTGAGACGTGGTTTGTGTGGACGGTAAACGAGCCAGAGGATTAAAGCGATGAGACCTAGTAAGAGGAGGATGGTAAAGATCGCGCCGCAGATTGCACGGAGAGCGTTTCCTCCGCCGTCTCCGCCGTCTTTTGAGTAAGATTCCGGCGTTGAAGATGCGGAAGGAGCGTTCTTGTGATC